CTGTATCTCCTCTCATTGAAACCTCCCCACAGTGCATGACTTGTATGGAAACTGCATATGTAGCCCCCAAGAGCAGAAAATACTCGGGCTTTGGAACAAACATATCTGATTTTTGGATCCTGCCTGGGCAATTGCCTTAACTTCTCTCGGCCTCAAGTTTCCTCACAGGTAAAATGAAAACAAATCCCACCTTGCAGGGTAGGGGCAAGGATTGGAGAGATTGAATCAGAAGGTCTAAGCACAGGCAGGCACATAAAGGACTTCAGTGATAATACCCCTATGGGACTTGGAGCCCAGCAATCACTGAGAAAACACAAAATGAGGAATTATTTTTTTKGGGGGGTGGGGTACTGGGGATTGAACTGAGGAGCACTGGACCACTAAGCCACACCCCCAGCCCTATTATTTATTTTATTTAGAGACAAGTCTCACTGGGTTACTTAACACCTCTCTTTTGCTGAGACTGGTTTTGAACTCATGATCCTCTTGCTTTGACCTTCCAAGCTGCTGGGATTACAGGAGTACACCACTGTGCCCAACCAAAATGAGGAATTCTTGATAATGGAGTTCATCTAGTATAGCCCACCTCTCTCATTTTCTCCAAGTTGCCTCAGAAGAAAATCTCCAACTCTCTGGGGAATATTTCAATACATATATAAAAATATGCTTGCCTGGCACAGTGGCACACTCCTATAATCCCAGCAGTTTGGGAATGAGGCAGGAGGATCGTGGGTTCAAAGCCAGCCTCAGTAAAAGCGARGTGCTAAGCAATTCAATGAGACCCTGTCTCTAAATAAAATACAAAATAGGGCTGGGGATGTGGAGGTGTAGGAAGGCTCATTGGTTGAGTGTCTCTGAATTCAATCTCCAATACTCCCCCCGCCAAATATATATATATTCAATATATATGTATATATTTTTTCTTATATTCAAAACGTGAAACTGAAATTCGGATATAGTTTTGCCCATCAGATTGATAATAATACCTTGTTGATGAGAGTATAAATAAAGTATGCTACCCATGACTATCTGGGAGATATACAGTTGAACCAGTTTATTTGAAGGTCAATTTGACAGCACATACCAAGCCTTGAAATGTTATATGAAGGCTGGGAATATGGCTCAGTGGTGGAGCACTTGCCTAGTGTGCTTGAGGCCCAGGTTCAATCCCAGCTCTGTTAAGAGAATAAATAAATTAAGAGAATAAATAAATAGAATGTTGAAATATTTTAGACTTAAGGAATTTTACCTAAGGAATCTGCCTTACAGATATACTAACATGACTACATGAAGGATGTTCACTTTTTATAATAGCCAGATACAGATACTGGGAGTGATTTTAATGTCCATTAGTTGGGAATTAATTAAAATAGTGTAGTCTGCTTAGATCATAAGATAAYTAACTGCAGTCACTGAAAAAAATGAGTAACCTTAGGGTGATGAGAAATGTTTTAGAAGTAGAGGTAGAAGTTGTATAACACTGTGAGCTTATTAAATGCTACTGACTTGTTCACTTTAAAAATGATTATGCTCTGTGCATTTCACCTCTGTTTTTGTAAAGATTAAGTCTTACAGGGCTGGGGTTGTGGCTCAGTGGTAGGTTTCATCCTTAACACCACAGAAAAATAAATAAAATAAAGGTATTATGTCCGTCTATAAATGTGGAGAGAGAGAGAGAGAGAGAGAGAGAGAGAGAGAGACAGACAGACAGACTTACACCATAACATGAAGATATTTCAAAGAAGAAGATAACATTGTTTTTCGTGAATGTTAGCAAATGTAAGGGGGAAGTTTGGAAAGATATAGAACAGACTCAACAGTGGTTCCTTTTAGGAAATGGCCTTGGGGAAAGGAGGGAATTGCTACTTAATATTAAATATCTGAGATGTCTGTATTATCTGAAATTTTAAAATTAGCATAAATTACTTCCAAACTGGGGGAGAAAGTCTGAAGTTGGTTAGGGACTGAAAATGTAAGGAGGTAGGAGGGTGATTCATTTAAGTGAAAGTGGAAACTGTGTTTCATTTTGAATTTTCTTTTTGTGTGTGTTTTTCTTTCTTTCTGGGCTTTAATGCCTGTCTGGGATGCCTTCAAAACAGCAAATGGAGTTACTTGGTGACTCACTATGCATGTTTTGACCTTTCAGCAACTATGGTTAATTGATTCTGAGCACAGGGGATCTACATTCATTTAATCTGGTTACTGTTTATAAGGAACTGTTTTAAGAGATCATAAGGATTTGCAAGATGCCATTAGCGAACTGTGTATTGGGTGCACATGTTTTCTTGATCTCCTGCCCAGGTCTGCTCCAGCARTCCTAAGCTCTTGGTGCTCACAGAGGCCTGTGCCAGCCCAAGGAGCTTGTATTGCTACTGGCAAATGGCTAACTCCCAGCTTCCAGAAGGCTCTGGTAATACCTTGAAGCTCCTTGGAAGCTTCTCCTTACATTTTTCATTTATTCATTTTTTTTCTTAGGTCATAAAAAATTAAAAAGTAGGAAAATCAGAAATCACCTCTGATGAAAAGAAATAGAATTTTGTGGCACTCCCATTTTATCTTTTCTCTTATGGACTTTTGCATAATTATTAAACAGTATTCATATGCAGATTTTAAATTATCTCAGAATTCTTTTATTGGCTAGAATAATATTCCAAGCAAGTAACTTATTTTAAAAAACCTTATATTGGATGGTTCCTTTAAAAAATATTCTCTTAGCTAGGTGCATTGGTGCACATCTGTAGTCCCAGCTCCTTGAGAGGCTGGGGTAGGAGGATTACTTGAGCCCAGGAGCCCAGGGGTCAGCCTGAGCAACAGAGCAATACCGTATTAAAAAACAACCATAAAGGGCTGGGGATGTGGCTCAAGCGGTAGCRCGCTCGCCTGGYATGTGTGTGGCCCAGGTTGGATCCTCAGCACCACATACAAACAAAGATGTTGTATCCGCCGATAACTAAAAAATAAATAATAAAAAATTCTCTCTCTCTCACTCACTCACTTAAAAAAAACCATAAAAACAAACAAATAAAAACTCTACTTTATTGGATTTTATTGTTGAATTTCAAAATAATTGGGAGCTACCTTACCTTAGAACGTCTTAGTGATCTTGGCTCATATGTCACATGCAAAATCAGTTCCTGCCCTTGGGAAGTTTATAGTTTAAAACAGGTGACCAGTATATATAGTAAAAAGTGATCATTGCTATATCAGAGGTATGTCCAAATTGCTCTGGGAGAGAAGGACAAGCGAACATTAGTGAAGGTTTCCTAGAGGAGATGGTATTTGACTTATATTCTGAATTAACTGTAAAATATAAGAAATGCATTCTAGAAACAGAAGATTTGAAGGGAGCACAAAGAGATGGCAAAGCATGTCACACTGAAGGAATGGCAAATAGCCTAGTATGGCTGAAGAATAGGGGGATTGTGGGTGAGTGGCAGGATGTGATCCTAAGTACGTAGCCTGTAGTCAGATTACAAGAGGCCTTCTGTGACAAGCTAAGGAGTTGGAACTTGACATAGAAGGCCACAGGGAATGGTGGCAGGGAACACTTGTTAAATAACAATATGGTTTTTGAGCACAGTCATACCTCATTGCTTTGGCAAAGTTTCCAGTGAGTGTGTTGAAATCTTGTAGGATGAGGACTAAAGATGATGCATTTAACTTCCTTCCTGATGATTTGTTTCTGTCATGAGAAAGCACCATGGTAACATATTTCTGCCACAGGGTTGGACTTTGGGTGGTTAGACCACTCCATCATCATTTGCTGCTAAAATAGTATTTATTATGTATGTTAATTGGGACTTTTTGAGTTGACAGAACTCCAGCTKAGATCAATGTAAATAGGGGTAATGTATTACCCCATGTAACTAAAATATCCAAAGGTGGCTCTTCCTGGCTTCAGGCATAGTGGAATCCAGGGGTTCAAAACACTAGTGTYGGCAAAGCTCATTACATTTCTGCTGCTTCTATCAGTCAGTCTCTCCATCCTTTATTCTGTGTGTCCCTTCCTTTACTCCTGTTGCAGATAGATTCTCCTTTGTGACATGGGAGAGTTACTATAAGAAACCCCTGCCGAAGTTATCTCCTGAGATCACAATTCCCCTTTTCTTTTTCTTTTTAATAATTTTTTTTCAGTTATACATGGACACAGTATCTTTATTTTGTTTACTTATTTTTATATGGTGCTGAGGATCGAACTTAGAATCTCTCACATGTGAGGTGAGTGCTCTACCACTGAGCCACAACCTCAGCCGCCCCACCTCCCTTTTTTATAAACCATGTAGCAAATTTCTAGGACTCAGTGCCCAACCCTGAAGCAGGGTTGGAATACTCTAACTGGTCAAGTCTGGTGGAGTCCACCCAAACTAAGTGCAGTGGAATGCCCAGGGATAGTGGAAGTGCTGTTGGTAGGAGGAGGGGAGTAGGTGTGAGGCCTGATGTTTTTTGTTGTTTTGTTTTTTAATATTTTCTTTTAGTTGTAAATGGACATAATACCTTTATTTTATAGATTTATTTTTATGTGGTGCTGAGGATCGAACCCGGGCCACACTCATGCCAGGCGAGTGCGCTACCGCTTGAGGCACATCCCCAGCCCCTTAACTTGTTTTAAAAAAAAAAAAATGTGGTACTGAGGATGAAACCCAGTGCTTTACCTGAGCAAGGCAAGTGCTSTACCACAACCTCAGCCCATCATCCCTTGTCCTTCTGAAGAGGGGAAGTGGCCTTTGGAAACAAGTATAGCTCACCATTCTTCTGGGAGCTGCTGTTGCCCAGGAGTTTGGCCTTACGTGTTTTGGTGTTGTAGTACACGTGTGGAACATGTCCAGTTTTACTTAGCACGTAGACTCAAGACAATGCCCTGCTTCCTAAAGGCCCTGTGGTCCCGTCCATTCTTTTTTGCAAATATATGATTTATGTTCCGTCAGCAACAGGAAGCTGCTCAAAGGATCCACCTAGTTCTGCTGCTGACCCCATGATGGCTTGTTCTTCTCATTGTTTAGCGTTCCATTAGCTTCCGCAGCGAGAGCCGCCCTGACATCCTCGCCCCCCGACCCTGGTCCAGAAATGCCTCTTCCTCAAGCACCAAGCGGAGAGACAGCAAGCTATGGAGCGAGACCTTCGATGTGTGTGTCAATCAAATGCTTACATCTAAGGAGATCAAACGGCAGGAGGTATGTTCCTGTATCTGCCAGGGAGGTGCCCTGCAGGGGAGCATCTTGCAGGGTCTGCACTGCAGTCTCCAAATCTAGTGGAAGGAACTGAAAAATACCTGTGTCCAGCTGGGTGGGTGTGGCCCCCCACTTTAAAAAGACACTGATGTGGGCTGGGGATGTGGCTCAAGCGGTAGCGCACTTACCTGGCATGCGTGCGGCCCAGGGTTCGATCCTCAGCACCACATACAAACAAAGATGTTGTGTCCGCCAATAACTAAAAATAAATAAATAAATATTTAAAAAATTCTCTCTCTCTCTCTCTCTCTCTCTCTCTCTATTTAAAAAAAAAAGACACTGATGTGCAAATCTAGAGTTTACAGGATGTTAACCAAGTGCCTATTTAAGATTCTTAAGTTCACAAAAACAATCCTTTCCATTATATTTTGAGAGCAGCCTCTAGAATATTTTATAATATTTAGTTTATAGGCCTGGGTATAGCTCAGTGGTAGACCACTTGCTTAGCATGCAAGAACCGGAGTTTAATCCCTAGCAATGCAAAAAGATAAAATTTTAAATTTAAAAATTCAGATTATAGAACTTTGATTCAGCTTTGCAGAAAACTTCTTTCTAGTGCATAGTTAATTCCATTCTTTATGAGCTTTCTGTATCAATTACCCTAATAATTGGCTGCGATGACATTATACTTTTTAGAAGGTTTGTCATRCGCCAGGCTATGCTAAGCACTTTGCATTGTGCATCCTCTAATGAGATCTCTGCTGCAATTTCTATTTTTTTGTGGAGAACTTGACATTGGCAAAAGGGGAACTTGAAAATTGTCTRGTTCTTTGACTAAGCAGTTCCTTTCTAGGAAATCTGCCAGGACTGCTTGTATATAGGTGAAAAGATATATGTACAAGATTACTTGTTACAGTAATATTTATAATTGTACTAATTTAGAAGGAGCCTAAACAACTATTATTAGAAACCAGTCTAAATAAATGAAATAATGCTTCCCTCAATGGCACATGCCTCTAATCCCAGCTGCTCGGGAGCCTGAGGCAGAAGAATTAAGAGTTCAAAGCCAGCCTCAGCAAAAGTGAGGTGCTAAGCAATTCAGTGAGACCTCGTCTCTATAAAATACAAAATATGGCTGGGGWTGTGGCTCAGTGGTCAAGTGTTCTTGAGTTCAATCCCTGGTACCAAATAAATAAATAAAATACTATGCAACTGTAGAGACACATGAAGAAGTGCTGATATGTATGTTTGGCTAAGTGGATAAGGCAAGTAACAAAATAGGATGTAGATTATGCTACCATGTATATAAAAATAGAAAAATTAATATATTTATGTATTTGCTTGTAGAACCATAAAATATTTCTGGAAGACTACTCAAGGAACTGTCAACAGTGTTGCCTCCTGGGGTGGCTGGAAGGAAGTGAGAAGGACAGTTTTTACCATGTGCCCATCTGTGCACTATAAATTTTATGCCATGTAAATGTATTACCTATTCAACAATTAATAAATGAAGGCTTTGAAAATAATACATGCACTGAAAAAAGTCCTGTGAAGAAATATCTGGTTAATGTGATATTGTGATGTATTTGGTCTTCATCCCCATTTCCTGGCATATAACTCATATCTTCAGAGTGGCATTTTGTTTGTTGATAGATTGACCAAGCTTTGGTAGAATCCAGATGGAGGCTGGTTACCAATGAGACCAAGACAAGATAGATGGTTGCGACTGAAAGTCTAACCTCTGGGGAAGGGAAAGGGGTTGAAGGTTAAGTTGATAACTAATTGCCAATGATTTAGTGAAGCCTCCATTAAAAAAATAATAATAATAAGGTTTGGAAAGCATCCAGATTGCTGAACATATGGAGGTTCTTGGAGGGTATGTGCCTGGATGAGGCATAGAAGCTCCACACCCTTTCCCCTGTACTCCAGCATGTTCATCTCTTCATCTGGTGTTCATTGATATCCTTTGTAATATCCTTTAAAATAAACTGGTAAACCTAAGTGCTTCCCTGAGTCTGGTGAGCCCCTCTGGCAAATTAATCAAACCTGAGGAGAGGGTAATGGGAACCCTGATTTATAGCAGATTGGATTTTGGACTGGCATCTGACAGGGGAGTAGTCTTGGGGACTGAGTTCTCAACTTGTGGGATCTGATGCTGTCCCCAGGTACATGGTGTCAAAATTGAATTAGGAGAGGCCCAACTGGTGTCCACTGCAAAACTGATGGCTTGTTCAGTATGTGGGGGAAAGCCCCACATACTGGATATCAGAAGTGATATGTGTTGTGAGAGTATGGGAGAAACTGAATTTGTTATTCTTGTGTTCTCAAGAGTTAACAAGATGCTATTATGGATTATTTAAAGTTTTTATTCTTTATGCTTCTCTATATTTTCCCAAAAGTTAATAGGTTACATATACAATTTGTACAATCTGACATTGAGAAAGGGGAAGGAAGGGAAGAAAAGAAGGATGGATTCCATAGATGAGGACATTATTAAGGCATGGTGAGCAGGAGGTCACCACCTAGTATATTATAGAGTCAGGATTCAAATTTGGCTCCTTTTCTGCACCAAATCCCATGGTGTATTTCCTAGTGTGGAGGTCTATGGTTTGCCTCTCTTAGAGGTCACATTTGGCCAGTCTGTATAAGTGAGCTCTGGTAAAACAGATGGACAAGGAGATCTGAYGAAGATCCACATTAAGGCTAATCAGTTATTTTGAGCCCATTATTTCCCTAGAGTTATGTACCACAGGTGATGGGTGCACAGCACAGAACTTCCTCACTATTTCTGTCACTTTTTTCATATTTTTTGGGGGGGTGATAGTAGGATGTGGGTAGATGTGATACTGGGGATTAAATTCAGGAACACTCTACCACTGAGCTACACCCCCAGCCCTTTTTGTTTTATTTTGACCTAGACACTTGCTGAGTTGCTAAGGCTGGCCTAGAACTTTCTACACTCCTGCCCCAGTCTCCCAAGTCACTGGGATTACAGGCCTGCACCACCTTGCCTGGCCTATTTTTTGTAACTTTTCATGTGAATCTATAATTATTTAAAAATAAAAAGGCAAATAAAGTAGAATAAAAAGCATGGGGTTTTCTGGAACTCAGAGGGGTTGGGCCCTTGGGCTACTCTCCTGCCCCCACATTCACTGTCCTGCCCTGCAGTAGTCCTTGACCTATCGTCACAGACTTGTCCTTTAATAACATAATGTTTGCCAAGGATTTAGATCCTCTGATGTAAATGTTCTGTGTGTCATAGCTCTCTAAATTATGATGGCTTAATAGAGCCAAATTAGAAATGACCCATTTATACACTCTTGCACACAGCCTGCTCCTATAGTTTTATTTAGTGTACCTGGTGGAGCTCAGAAGTACTTTAGAATGAATTAACTTCATCAGTTTTTATTTAGAGTGATGAAGTTTTGGATTCTTTGTACAATCCCAATCTCAAAACAAAACAACTAGAAGCTAAGAGGAGGATAGGATTTTTTTTTTAATAGGGTTTGAACCTGGGGTGTTCTACCACTGAGCTATATCCCCAGACTTTTTTATTTTATTTTTGAGGCAGGATCTCACTAAGTTGCCAAGGCTGGCCTCGAATTTACAACTGTCCTGCCTCAGCCTCCTGAGTTGCTGGGATTACAGGCATGCGCCCCTGCGCTCATCTGACAAATCGGTGATAGGAATAAAGCTTTCTACTAAGATTCATCTTTTGTTGAGTAAGAGGGAGGCAAACTGTGAAGGGCCAGCCAATAATGTTGCCAGGTCTATTACTGAGAACAGACCCTAAATCCTTTCTTAGGATTAACATTCATAACAAAGATGCAGAATCCATGGCTCAAACTGAAACATGGAAGATGACTGTTAAATTGTAAATTTGTGGCAATACTTTCTCCCACAGAGAAGTCCATTATGCAGAAATACTGTAATATCTTTTCTTTGCAGGTTTTAGCTAGTAGGTACATTTTCTTCAGATTGATTTAACTTTTCGAGAATCCTTTTTAAATAAAGTAGAGATGGATTTTTGAGTACTAGAACTGGCACTGTTTGAATTTGGTCTCATAAAGGAAGGGAAAATTCATTAAATATATTTCATCTTGGGGCTGGGGATGTGGCTCAAGCGGTAGYGCGCTCGCCTGGCATGCGTGCGGCCCGGGTTCAATCCTCAGCACCACATACCAACAAAGATGTTGTGTCTGCCAAGAACTGAAAAATAAATATTAAAAAAAAATTCTCTCTCTCTCTCTCCTCTCTCCCTCTCTGTTTAAAAAACATATATATATATTTCATCTTTATTTTTTCAGGCAATCTTTGAACTTTCTCAAGGAGAAGAAGACTTGATAGAGGACTTGAAATTAGCAAAAAAGGTAAACTAAAAGCCAATAGTTTTATTTAGTGTACCTGGTGGAGCTCAGAAGAATCTCAAAAGTGGATGAAGTACTCATTTTAGTCACTTCATATTTTTCCCCTCTGAATAATTTCATAATACTCAGATGATACTTTATGAACACCTTCTTCATGACTAAGACAGGTCATCAGAAATTGAGAAGAACCTGTGACCACAAACCAAGCAGTGGGAAATGGTTCAAAGAAAAAGGTAGAATAGCTCTTTGCACCTGGCACGTGTAGGAGTTCACCTCTTCATGTCTCTGGCGTACCTCAAAGAATATATCAGTTTAAATCAGAAAGTGTCCGTGGATGCCTGTCCTAGAAGTCTCACATGCAGGGCCTCTTTGTCTGTGGAAGAGAATGGATGTCTTAAACAGGAACTATATCTTAGAAAAAAGGCATTTGAAGCTGGGCATGGTGGTGCATGCCTGTTATCCCAGTGACTTAGGCTGAAGCAGAAGTTTAAGGCCAACCTGGTAACTTAGTGAGACCCTATCTTAAAATGAAATAAAAAAATAAAAAGGACTGGGAATGAACCGTAATGGTAAAGCACCACTGGGTTCAATTCCTAGTATAAGGGGAAGGAGGACATATGAATCTCAAAAGTGGATGAAGTACTGAAATGAGACAATTGTATAACTGTTGTAAGTTAGGGTTTTTCTATGAAAACTGGATTGGGGTTTTTGTTTGTTTGTTTTGCTTTGTTGATTTAGTGCTGGGAATTGGATTCAGGACCTTGAGCATGTTACACACACATACACTACCACTGAACCATGCTCTAGCCAGAAACTTATTTTTTAATTAACATTGTGTGGGAGGAGCAGGGGGGAATACCCTGGCCTTGTAGAATGTACATTCTTGACAATGAGCTTCCCTTCAAAATTTTTTCCATTCCAGCAATACCAGGCCACTGCACCACATTCCATTCCCATAGCTTGGAAATTAATCCAGACTCCTTCATCCTGATATTCATGGCATCCTCAAATAATTATTGGGAAGGAAGGATGTTTCCCCTTCTTTGAGGGTTGTTAGTACAGCTTTCTGCTAATGTGAACCCCTACCTCCAGCATTCCTGATATGGCCATCCAAGCTATACTTGGATATAGCCAAGAAACAGAGTTTCAGTCAGGGCTGGAGGAAGGGGAGCAGATCAGAGAGGACCAAAAAGGCTCTTCACTCTAAGAGACATTGTGCTGATTCTATGTTCAACTCATCTCACCTGGATCAAGTTCTCCCAGATGCTAGCGTCTTCCTGGCAACACTTCTCTTCCTTTCAACCCTCTTTATCTACCGGTCTTCTGGGCACCACCACAAATCTCAATTCTTTCTTCTATAATATTTATTACCTCCTCCTTTGTGCCAAGTGGCTCATCTTTAAAACTTTCCTTTGTCAGTGCACCTTTAATCTTCTGGCTGTCTAGAGCACTTACAACTTGATCTTCTTTCTTGTCATATAAACATCTCTCCCATTGTTAATCTTGAGTAGTTTTGTTGTTGTTGTTGTTGTTGTTGTTTTGTTTGTTTTTAGTACCAGGGACTGAACTCAGGAACATTCGTCCACCGAGCCACATCCCCACTCTTGTTTTGTATTTTATTTAGAGACAGGGTCTCACTGAGTTGCTTAGTGCCTCACTTTTGCTGAGGCTGGCTTTGAACTCAGTCTTCCTGCTTCAGCCTCCTGAGCCACTGTGATTACAGATGTGTTCCACCATGCCTGGCTTGAATAGATTTTTAAACATGTATTTAATTTTCCATGCATTTAAAAAAAAAACTTTCCAGATGGGTGTAATGGTACACACCTGTAATCCCAGTGACTTGGAAGGCACAGGTGGGARGATCACAAGTTTGAAGCCAGCCTCAGCAACTTAGTGAGGCCCTAAGCACTTAGTGAGACCCTATCCTAAAATAAATAATAAAAGGGCTGGGAATATTGCTCAGTGGTAAAATGTCCTTGGGCTCAATCCCCAGTACAAAAAAAAAACAGTGCCAATCATTTTTTTATCTTTCTTTTAACTATGTACTGATTTGCAAAAGAGCATCTGGTAGCTAATTTTGAATAAAGTGGGAGTTTTTCAAGTTGTAGGATCTTGGTGATTTTGAAAACATTATAATAACCAAATCTATATCAAGGACGTATGCTCCTTCTACTTTGGTTTATCAGTGACCACAAAAGGCTCAAGGAGTCCTGGATTCTCCTCTCCTCCAGCTACTCCTGTCTGCTGTTTCTGCAGCACTATGGGAGAAGTTGTTGGGAGAACCAGATTTTTGTTGTTGTTGTTGTTAATCACATAGCACCTCTTAGATGCTAGTTCCTCTGAATTTAAATGTTTGTGTCCATCTCTTGTCCTTCTTATGCAGGCCTATCATGACCCTATGCTGAAACTCTCCATCATGACAGAACAAGAGTTGAACCAAATTTTTGGAACACTGGACTCTCTAATTCCTCTACACGAAGGTATCGTTTTGTTCCTGGGATGAGTTGTGACTTGTAGCTTAGTTGACTTGTCTTACAACAAGTCAGTGATTGTGTAATAATGTGAATAACCCAGAACTGCTTCCAGCCGTGTTCATATTTGAATGCCTAACGAAATAAGCATTCTGTTTATTTTTTGCCAGAGCTTCTTAGTCAGCTTCGGGATGTTCGGAAGCCTGATGGCTCAACAGAACACGTTGGTCCCATCCTCGTGGGCTGGGTAAGAAAAGTTCTGTGGACTTAGTTGAAGACAGATTTCCTTTTTTTTTTTTTATTTTAATTTTTATTTTCTTGTGGAGTGGGGAGGGGAGATGTGCTATGGATTGAACTCAGGGCCTCACACATGCTAGGCAAGATTTCCATAATTTAGATGTAGTTTCATTATACCTAGACTTTTCTTATTGGCAAATATTGGTCTTATATCAGAAAAATAAAAATTCAGTTCCTAATAAAATTTGTAATTATATTTAGGACTTATCTTTTTAAAGCATGAAAACAATTCTTGYTACACATTTACTGCATTTAAGATAATGTGGCATTAAAATAAGTACAGGTACACGTGAAACTATTAGTTTCACATCAAATAAAACGAAACTAGGTAATATGGCATCCAGACCAATTGCTCTTGAAATTATTAGCATTTCTAGTGCATTACTGCCTTAATGCAGAACTTTTGAGGATTCACGACTTAGCTAGATTTAGTTCAGGAGTCTGTTTTAGTACCAAGGCTGAAATATCCCAAGGGTATCTGAAAGACAAGTAATGTTCTAAGATGAATAATTTAAAAAATGAGCATTAATATTTCAGGAGAGATTGTTCATCTTACACTTTCAACTTTCCTTTCATTAACTTCTTTTAGCAAAAAAAAAAAAAATATTCTAAAGAGAGCCAGCCAACTAGAGTCACAGAAGGTGTAATGAGAAGAGAGGGTCTGTTTCAGTATTTCTTAAATTTCTTTAGTCTGCAGACTGCTTTGAGGGAATAAAGGGGGCAATAGGGCCACACTCTAGAATTAGCAGGATGATTGCTTTGTGTTTGCTGTGATAGCAATAAAAAATACATGGTTTCCTTAAACATCTTGTGCAAATTGTGAATTTGTTCCAGAAACAAAATTGTAGGAATCTGTCTAGTTATTAACTTTATTTTTGAAATAAATATTTATCACTTTTGTTAGGAAATTAGTTTGATTTAGGGGCAGATTTTACAGTCATTTTGGGTATCCAAAGGAAGAGAGGAATGACCATGCTGGTCCATTGCTATCTGGATCCTTCAGGCCAAAGGACTTGCAGCTTCAAGAGCAGCCTCAAATTAAACAACTGGCCGGTTGTTACCAGACTTCATGAGAAATGGCCTTATTTAACAGGCCCAACGAGCTGTTAAATGTTTTCCCTCTTTTAACTGCAGATGTGTCCATGCGAGTGGGAACTGTAAACCAAAGGGTACATCTGTTTGAGCTCTGGTCTTTTTAACAGAACAAAATAAACATCTTGGTGGACTTTGAATGAGAAAAGTCAGAGCCCATTCAACCCATGAAAAATTGATTTATTTCTCCCCCGAAGAAAAAACATGAAAAAGCCTTTTAAACAAGTAAGCTGCCCAAGTGGGGCAGCATTGACCATTCCTTTTGACCTTAGAATGAATCAATTACTTTTACTTTGAAGACCTTAAACAGGGTGGTTGCAGTTTTTTTTTTTTTTTTTTTTCAGGGAACCACCCTGGTTACTGAGGATCTGTTTCCCCCTCCCCAGTAGGTCACCCTGTTGGAGCAAGCCTTCCCTATCACAAAGAATCAGCTTCCCAAGTGACTTATCTAAGTAATAAAATAATTTATAAGCTCTCCAAGACAGCCAGTCCTCATGTTAATTTGGGTTCTAATTAAAATTTAATTCCAAAAAGAAAGGCAGGGCACCTGGAAGCCAAAAAAAAAAAAAATAGATTTGTTCTATCACTTTTTACAATGTTAGGGAGATAAGAATTTCTTTAAAAAAGGGGGGGGCAGCGCAAGGGAGAGTTTCCTTTATAAATTCTTTGTCCTCCCTTATAAAAGTTCTTGATAGTCTATTTAAAAGAGATATCAAGTAGTTCAGAGCTTTGCAGGGGAAAATAGATAAGAACAGGCTTCAGAGTCCTGCTGAGCAAGTAGCTTTGCTTCTTTAAACCAGTTTCTTGAATAAAGTATTCTAGGAACAAAAATTAACAGCTAGTACTTACTGATTCTCAACAGGGACCAAGCTCTATGATACACATGTTATATTTCTCATTCACTAAGGGAAAGGAAAATGTTAGTATACGTATTTTAATTGGAGAAACTGAGTCTCACAGGAGTCATTCATGAGCAGCTGTCTAACTTGAGCTTTGAACCTGATTCTCCTTGATTCCAAAGTCTTCCCTCTTCACCACTGAATTTTCACTTCTCATATTTTAAATAAGTGTATTTATTTTTATTTGGGAACCAAGATGTGTACATTTGTCTTCTCCTATCATTTGTGACYTTTTCTAACCAGTGGCTAAATGTGGTAGCCTTTCCAGGAAATGAGCACCCCATCAGGTGTGAACACAGAACCACAGCTTAACTTTGTTGCCATGGTAGCAGGTGTCAGGATCTGTGAAAGTAATAGTCCAATGGATAGTGAGCAGCAGTGCAGCTGGGTTTCCTCACTAATTTACATCCGATGGTTACTGCTGATTTGTTTCTCCATAATCAAAACATTGGTCATTTCCAGGTATTTTAAAAGGCAAGGAAGTGGAAATGAAATTAAGAGGGCCTGAGATGCTTTTAATTAACTCTTAAAATCTAGATTATAAGTACCACATCTGTTATTGGGCAGGGACGGGATGGGGAGAGCATGGATGTGTGTATGGATATGTGTGTACTGGTTATCATTACTTTCAAATGTAAGGTTGAGGAAGGAATTTTTTCAGCTCTTTTGAACACAATAGAGGGTTTTTTTATTTTGGATGTTGTTTTATTTTTAATAACATGGAAAGAAGGTGAACATTTCCAAGATTGTTAAGCTTAGTATTGAGCCTTTTAAATACTACTTCCCTAGTAATTTTTTTTTTATTTTGGTTAATGAGAAAATAATTTTAATAAAAGRTGTAAAAGAAGTATAAGAATATTTAAGTTTTCAGATGCCACTACACTTTATTTTTAAGGGATGTTCCCAAACCATCAAATATTGCCCAGTTTTATGATCCATTATTACAAATAAGCATTCATTTATTTGTTCTCCCAGAATACAAACTTTGACTGTGGGCTGTATAGGAAGCACAATGCAGGGTACTGAGGATGCAGAAATGAAAGACACCTTCTTGTCACTGACTTATTGAGTCCTCTACAGAGGTGTCATGGTAAACAATGTAGCTTCCTAGTGTAAAATAATGAGAAGTGCTCTAAGGCATTTTATTGCCTCTTGAAACTTTCTGGAGGCTGGTAGCATTGCATTAAGATGCTGAATCTCGGGTACCATTAAGAGGGAGAAATAGAAAAAATAGGATGAGAAGCTTTTCCTTTGAGTCTCTGATGTGGTCTTTGCACATTGTGATTGATAGAATATGTCAGAGAGATTGTTTTGCTGGAATGAAGGCAGTGAACTTAAAACATTCTAAAGTCTTTAAACTTACATTGTTCCTTGCTTGGGCTGTGATGTGAACCATAAGATATAACCAAAAATCTTTGCTGGCCTGTCAGAACTAATTTAAGAGATTTTTTTWAAATGCTTCCTGCACCTGATTTTCTTTTTTAACTAATCATACTTTTGTGTTAACTTCTTAAGGCCTTTATAATTGGTCTGCCTTAGAATCAGGTAATCTTAAACTAATATAGAGGTGTTTGCACAAATCCACACAAAAAGGACTGTGTAATGTCATACAAAAGGCTGCACTGGCCCCTTGTTTTTTGTGTGTGCTGGTTAAGTCTTCTTCRTGGTTTTTTATGAATAATTTTTGAAGACATCCTTACAAGGTAACTTTTGACATACTGGATACTTTTTAAAAAGTTAGGAAAAATTCTGAACTGTTTGCATATGTAAGAATTCAGGTGCTTTTGTCCCTAGCTTGGATTGGTAGGAAGTGCAGAGAAATTGAGATAGGGCTCTCAAAATCAAGAAAGTAAATGTGCAACTAAGAAAGGTACCTTGTGAAAATAAGCGGAACCTGTCTATTGCATGCCATTTTGAAGATTCCACTGGTTTCCTCCAGCCATGCAAATAAAGAAATGTTGGCCAGGCCTACATCCCAGTTCAGTGTTCATTCAGTCCCAATGAATGAAGATTTCAAAGCTTAAGGATGTTGACACCCCAATCTTTTTCTGTTTCTTCCTTAGCTTCCTTGTCTCAGCTCCTATGACAGCTACTGCAGCAATCAAGTGGCTGCCAAAGCTCTGCTAGATCATAAAAAACAGGATCACCGAGTCCAGGACTTTCTTCAACGATGTTTAGAGTCCCCCTTTAGCCGCAAACTAGATCTCTGGAATTTCCTTGATATTCCAAGAAGCCGTTTGGTGAAATACCCTCTGCTTCTTCGAGAAATCTTGAGGCACACACCAAATGATAACCCAGATCAGCAGCACTTGGAAGAAGCTGTAAGTATGCCTGTTTTCTTCTCTCTTCCCTTTTCTTTTTCCATAATGGCTAGGAGTTGGGGTCCCATGTACACAGAAATCTAAGTCTAGTTTTTTATATTGCCAGTCACTTTTCCTCTCTCTGAACAGTTTCCTACCTGTAAGACACACTGTTGCATGAAGTTTAAGTTTCCTTTGGTTTTAAAATTTCTCGGTTTTGTTTCAATGGTTCTAATGTGGTGTTACAGTTGCTGGCTGTGAGGATTAAAATCTTTGTGGAGATTTTTAGTTGTCTGTTAGCTTAGGCCCAAAGCCCATTTGTAAAGGCAACCTCCTGTTGAACATCTAGCTCCTCTCAGCCCCAACTGCAATGGGGTGACTAGACTAGTCAAACCTCCTGCAAATGTTTATTAGGTATGGGCTGGACCCAATGTAGCAGATATAGATTTTTCTTTCCCTGGTAGCAAGAGAAGACAAGGGAAAATGAAATCCAGATCATTAAAATCTTGTGAACTATGAGCATTCTATTTGGAGATCTGGGTTCTAACTCTGTGGGGCAGGGTGGAACAGATGGCAGGCTGGGGTGGAGGCAGGGCACAGGTGTAAGGAAATAGGCCAGGTCACACCTGGGGAAAACCATGAATCAGTCTACCACAGGTTGAGGATACTCTGAGGAGCAAAAGGTGAGGCACAGGATGTGGGCTCCAATCTGGTTATAGAAAGTTTTAAATGGTTTAAATTTGAGAAATGTTCCTGTGTTGTGTAATTAATTCTGTTTCCTGTGTTGTGTAATTTATTCTATTTCCTATATAGTTGGGATTCAGGGTTCAAATCCCATCTCTATCACTAATAAGCTGTGGAACCTTGGATACATTACTCTTTGTAGAACAGGGAACTGAGGAGGAAGAGACAAAGAAGCTGGTGGGGATAATGCACAGTGGTGTAGGTGTGAAGTCATGAAAACCTGATTTGGGGTAGGAGGATAAAGGCTAATGGACATATTCAAAGCATTCGTTCCCTGGGCTGGGGATGTAGCTTAGTTGATAGAGTGCTTGCCTCACATGCATCAGGCCCTGGGTTGAATCCCACAAAACACACACACACACACAAAAGGCTCATTCCCTGATTTAATCCAGCACAATAACATAAGGATATGCAGAAGTGATTTGAAAATCAGAACTCTTGAACCTGCTGAGCAAACTGCCTGTCTCCTCCCAGAGAGTAATTTAATAATAATAAACAGTACCAATACCACCAATAATAATAATTCCTGTTATTTATCAAATATCTAGTAAATCAACTTTATATAATTGCCTTATAGATTGTGTATTTCTTTAACACTCATAATAACCTATGAGGTAGCTTTTTTTAAAAAAATATTTTTAGTTGTAGATGGACACAATACCTTTATTAATATTTATTTCTTTTTCATGTAGTGCTGAGGATCTAACCCAGTGTCTCATACATGGTAGGCAAGCACTCTACCAACTGAGCCACAACCTTGGCCCAAAATAGCTTTCTTATTGGGATCATTGTCTATATAAAGTTTATTATAGCTAAATAGCTTGCTCAGGTCCAGAGCCATCAAGTAGTAGTTGATGTTCAAACCCTGTCAATGTAGACTCCAAATACTGTGCCCTTATGCTTTTTTTTTTTTTTTTTTTTTTTTTTTTTTTTTTTTTTTTTTTTTTTTNTTTTTTTTTTTTTTTTTTTTTTTTTTTTTTTTTGTGGTGTTGGGGGAATGCCAGGCATTGAACTCAGGGGCACTCAACCACTGAGCCACATCCCCAGTCCTATTTTGTATTTTATTTAGAGACAAGGTCTCACTGAGTTGCTTAGTGCCTCTACATTGCTGAGGCTGGCTTTGAACTTGCAATCCTCTTGCCTCAGCCTCCTGAGCTGCTGGGACYCTTATTCTTCGTTATGATGCTGTACATTAGTGCAGAAAGGTGGCCACTTCTTTGAGCCTGTGTTGCCTTTGAAATTGCAGAGAGCTGTCTGGTCACCAGACGGACTTTGTGGCAAGGCTTTTATGATGCAAAGCTGGGCTGAGTGTCTCCACATGGAATAGAGAAGAACAAGGAAAGACTTTCCTGATCCTTGAGGTGTTCAGTATATTGGCAGACCCAACACACAGACCATGCTCCCAGTCCAGCATGGATAGGGATGCAGGCTCTGAGGATAAGGCCTATCTCACTTCATCATGTCTGTTTTTATTACTGGGAAGTGTCTGATCATGTTGCCTCCCCTCCATATTTCATCCCAGCAAGTGTGTGGTCTGCCTGAATAGAAACAACAGTGAGCTCCCAGCTACTCTAAATAATTACTTTGGTGAAGCACACAATCCTGTTCTGAGTTGTACTGTAAAGATTTCTTTTTAATATGTAGCACAAGAATACCATTCTTTTTGTAAGAAAATGAGCTAAAGCTTGAATTTAAAAACAGATAAAAATATGATTGTTTCCAGTATGAAAGGAATCAATAGTGTTTTGAGGGGTGATAGATATTTCCCTCYAAAGGGAACTTTTTAAAATAGAACTTTGGATATTCAGATATTCCAGATAATTGGTTGTTTAATCTTTTAAATTCTAGGGATTGTTTCAGTAAGAAAATGATTCTGCAGTCTAATCCCTACCCCCCATCCTTACTCTTCTTTATTTACTTCCCCCCAAAAAAACTTCCTCTTTCTTATTTACTCCTATAAATAAATAAATAAATAGGAAGAACAATCTTGCTTTTGAGGCAACTGCAATGAAGACTGCTATTCTTGTCAGGAGCTGATGAGTAGATGACATTGTGATACAAGGGACTAGATGGCCAGGGCTTTCAGATACCACTCTGAGGATGATGATTCCATAATGTGTGGGCCCATTGTGTCCTGTTGTGTTTCTCATTATCTTCTCTTTCCAGTCCTTGATGGGACATGCAATAATAAATTTAATTTAAATATACAGTTATCATGACTATTACTGGCAAACTGCTACATGTAACTTTATTACTGCCTGAAATCCTRCAGAGTAAATCTCCTTCAAGTCCCACTGCAGGGCTGGGGATATAGCTGAGTGGTAGAGAGCCCCTAGGTTCAATCCCTAGTACCACAAAAAGGAAAAAAGAAAAAGGAAAGGAAAAGACCCTTGTGATGTCATGATCAGGTGGATAAAAGTACAAAACATTTTTAATAAACAAAAGCAGATATGGCAGTTATTTTTATGAATGTATACATATAGAGTATGAAATGATAACACTGTTTCCATTGTTTTGCCTCAATATTTTTTCTAATACCAGAAAAAGAAGCAGAATTTGAAAGTAGTCATAGCTGCCTAAGGAACAGTCACTGTGGCATTGAGTTCATGAATCTTCACGTGACATGCCAGCTGTTCAGTTCCTAGGTTTAATTAGGAAATGAGCACATCATTATGGCTGTGGTTTGTCTTCTTTCTGATTTCCTGAATACTTGCAGGTAACTCAGAAAATTGATTCAAGTGTTTGTTCCAGCTGGCTTGGTACACCTAGTAATAGTTAATTGATAAGATAAACCACAGGCAGCTATGCTAAGTTCTTTAAAAACAAGGGGAAAGTGTGGATTCCACTACATATAAAGACGAAGAAAGACAAAATGATAAGGTAGACATAAAACAATTGCTCAGATACCTCCCTGTGTGTTTTAAGCTTTTCAAGGTCARGGACTCACTCTCATTTCTTTTTCTTTTTCTTCTTCTTCTTCTTCTTTTTTTTTTAGAGAGAGAGAGAGAGAATTTTTTTAATATTTATTTTTTAGTTTTCGGCAGACTCAACMTCTTTATTTGTATGTGGTGCTGAGGATCGAACCCAGCGCTGCACACATGCCAGGCTAGCTCGCTACCGCTTGAGYCACATCCCCAGCCCACTCTCATTTCTTTGAAAGCATCTAATCCAACACTGGACCAGTACTCAACAAACATTAGTTAAATTTATTTGAAAGATGAGTCATGGGTTTTAGTGTATTTTGTGTAGTTTCAAAAGTAACAATGCTCCAGGCACAGTGGCACACGCCTGTAATCCCAGCAGTTAGGAGGCCGAGGAGGAGAATCGCAAGTTCAAAGCCAGCTTTAGCAACTTAGCAAGGCCCTAAGCAACTCAGCAAGACCCTGTTTCTAAAGAAAAAAAAGGGGATGCACTGGAGATGTGACTCAATGGTTAAGTGCCCCTGGGTTCAATCCCCAGTACCAAAAAAAAAAAAAAAAAAAAAGTAACAATGAGTATCAAGAGGGGAAAACCAAGATGAGAAGAAAGAAACAAAGACAAAATTAGTATATCAAAGATACCAAAGTACTCTAATATTATTTGCTTTGTGTTAATAAAATTCAGACTAATTTTAGAGGATTTAATATTAGGCTGATGACATCAAAGGCCAAAAGCTTTTATATGACACTAAGGAGCCTGTATTTTTTAAGTATTTTTTTTTTGTTGCAAATGGACATAATACCTTTACTTTATTTATTTATTTTTATGTGGTGCTGAGGATTGAACCCAGACCCTAAAGTATATATTTTTAATCAGTCATGCTATCACCAAAATTTAGGAAATAGAGAAAAGATGTAAATCATCTTTGAATCTCATAATAGCTACAAAAATGTACAGATTATGCATTTATCCTCTAGACATAATCACCAGACCTACTCAGAGCTGTTAGATTTGCCAAACATGTGTCAAATACAAACATTAAAACTGAGTGGTAGCTGGGCGAAGTAGCACACACCTGTAATCCCCGAAGCTTGGGAGGCTGAGACAGGAGGATCAAGAGTTCAAAGCCAGCCTCAGCAATGGCAAGGCACTAAGCAACTCAGGGAGATTCTGTCTCCAAATAAAATACAAAATAGGTCTGGGGGTGTGGCTCAATGGTTGAGTGCCTATGAGTTTAATCCTTACCGAACAAAAACAACAACCACAAAACAAAAACTGAGTGGTAGTCTTTATCTGGTTGCTTTGGACACAAGTTATCATTTAACTAGCATAGATAAAAGATCACTTAGCAAATCTAGAAAGAATTCATTACCATGTTTATTACCAGATCTGGTAGCTGATGACTAAATAAAGACCCCTTTTAGAACCCTGCTTTTTTTTTCCTCCACATTTTTTTAAATTAGAGCATTATGGTTGATGGGATTTGTTGTTACCTATTTGTACATACACGCAACTTAATAATGATTTGGCCAATATCACTCCCCAGCGCTTTCCCCTTCCCTCCCCTCCTCCTTATCCACTGGTCCTTTTCCTCTATTTTACTGATATTCCTTTGTTTTTCATGAGYTCACATCATATCTTTTTCTTTTTCTGGCTTCCACATATGAGAGAAAACATATGACTTGTGACTTTTTGAGTTTGGCTTATTTCACTTAATGTAATGATCTCAGGTTCCATCCATTTTCCTGCAAATGACATAATTTCATTCTGTTTTGTGGCTGAATAAAATTTCATTATATATATATATATATATATATATATATATATATATATATATATATATCCCATTTTCTAGGCTTGGTTCCATAGTTTGGCTATTGTGACTTGTGCTCCTATAAACATGGGTATGTCATATCACTAAGTATGATGACTTTAATTCCTCAGGGTAAATACTGAGGAGTGGTATAGATGGATGATATGGTAGTGTCATGCACACTCTTTTGAGGACCTCCATAGTGGTTGAACTAATTTACAATCCCACCAACAGTATAAAAGTTAGAGCCTTGCTTTTGACCAAATTGTATTTTCTGTTGAGTAAATGTGACCAAGAGGCCTAGTCAGTATAACCCATCTGTTAAGTTTTCTTCAGTTACCATAAGAAAGGTGGAACTGTTTTTCTTTACACTCTTAGGGAACAGAGGACCCTGCTGAGGAAGTCATTGTTTTGCCTTTGATTTGTAGTATTGATTTTTTTAAATAATTTTTTTAGTTGTAGATGGACACAATACCTTTATTTTATTTATTTATTTTTATGTAGTCCCGAGGCTCAAATCCAGTGCCTCATATGTTCGAGGCAAGCACTCTGCTGCTAAGCCACAATCCCAGCCCTGTGTAATTGATTTTGTTCTGCTAATTTCTCATCCTTTGTTTTCCATATTTTCTAATGTTTGGACATGTTATCCAAGTCATCAAATAACAATACATCCAAATAAGTACCCACTGGTTACATCTCAGAGTCTTGTTTTGTTTTGCCATTTTTTTTTCTTGAATCTACTATCTCTTTGAATTTTCTTTGCCCCTAATTCCCTTACATGTGCAAAATGCATTTGTACAAAATTTCCCCTTCATTACTCCTAGTGTCTTTGCATTCTTTTTTCCTCCATCCTTTATAAAACATTTATGTTTTCTCATTAAAAATATATTCAAACCATTTGTTCACATTCAATTTGCAATTATAGTTTGTGGCATTAGGTTGGGCACATGTAGAGAGACCTTAAAACCAACTTTTACATCCCAGAGACAGACCCTCTTTTTTGGACATCTACATTCAGATTTGTTTTTTTTTTCCTTGGTCCAATTATTTATATGCCTAAATTTTCAACATTATGAGTGTGTTTTATTAAGAAATGTGCTCATCAATGGTATCTTAAACATCAGACCACCTTGATCTCTTTCTCTCAGATAAGAATATGCATCAATATTAGGTTTGTTTTGTTTTATTTGCAGTACTGGGAATTGAAGTCAGGGGCACTCTACCACCAAGCTACAACTCCTGTCCTTTTTTCTTTTCTTTTCTTTTCTTTTCTCTCTCTTTCTTTCTTTCTTTCTTTCTTTCTTTCTTTCTTTCTTTTTGGGTGTGTGTGTGTGTGTGTGTGTGTGAGATGCTGGGAATTGAATCCAGGGCTTTACGCATGAGAGGCAAGCACCCTACCACTGAGCTAAATCCCCAGGGTCTTACTAAGTTGCCCAGGCTGTCCTCGAAGTTAAAATCCTCCTTCCTTAGCCTCCAAGTTGCTGGGATTGCAGKTGTGCACCACCATACCTGGCTCAATATTTTTAGGTTTATATGCAATATAAAAATCTGTATATTTTTGTAAATAAAATGTATTTGTATGTGCACATTAAGGATATGTAGGGATAGATAACAGTATATTAAAAGCATTTTTCCTCTTTTCCCAAAGTGGTAACTGAGATAAATCTCAGAATTAGATACAAGTGGATCTTGGTGATCTCTAGGCTGGCCCTAAAACTACTTTGTATGGATGGTTTGCTTGCTTTCTCCACACTTATTTTCCTTTTTGTTGCCATAGATAAACATCATTCAGGGAATTGTGGCAGAAATCAACATCAAGACTGGGGAATCTGAATGCCGTTATTATAAAGAACGGCTTCTTTATTTGGAAGAAGGCCAGAAAGACTCTTTGATTGACAGCTCAAGAGTCCTGTGTTGTCATGGTGAACTGAAGAACAACCGGGGTGTGGTAAGTGGCTGCTCTCCTTGCCAATCTCATCCTGGGCCACCCCCATCCTTAATGCATTTGATCTGAGCCTCCTCTTATTATTCCTTCCCAGTCTAGGGTTGAATTTTTATAAACAAAAATTGGTTTTTTAGTATCTTTTACATCACTGAACTATGTATTACCTTTAAATTTTTAATATCATGGGCAAGTAAATATTCAGAAAGAATTTTGGAAACCAACAGGTTTGTCAGATTTTTTATTTTGTTTGATCATGACCTTTGGAAAGACACCAGGTACAGTGGTGTATGTTTATAGTCCCAGCAACATAGGAGGCCAAGATAGGAGGATTACTCATTTGAGGCCTCAGCAACTTAGCAAGTCTCTGTCTCAAAAATTTTTTTAAAAAAAAGGAATTTTTCAATCTTGAAGAGATTGATAAAGTTTGAGAATTCAAGGGACACCCTTTCAACCAAGACTGAGCAGCCTGGAAATGTCATTTGACATCAGTGAGTACATGTCATGGTTGTTATCAGGGCTGCTGTGGATCTAGCCAGCTGATGGTTTGATGTGGGCAATAAGACCCAGCAAGACCACTCCTGAAGTCCTGTGTCTGTTTTCTAAGGAGTTACAATGGCCAGAAAGTCATGTTCTGCTTCTTGCTGAAAGACACAAGAAGCACTAGTGGATTTCTATTATCTGACACTCAACAACTTGCATGTGCTTTCTATGAAGCCCTGTGCAAAATAGGAAGAATTTTTCCCACTGGGTGTGGACCTGTTCTCTTTTGTCTCTCACTGAAGGCCTGAGAACTTTCTGATTGATGTGCCTGGAACATTTAAGATGAACCCTAGGCAGATAGAGTTATGAGAACAAAGATAGCAACTGGGGTGGAAAGTTTGTTGCATTTCGCCCTTGGTAGAGTTGTGAAGGTCATTGAGAACAAAATCCTGTGTCAAAAAAAAAAAAAATGTGATAACTTGAGGGCAAAAGGGAGCTGAAACTAAGAGGAATTCTCCATGAATATTTATGAATGAAGTATATTTTTTAAAGGTTGCTCAGATGATCTGAATTCAAACTACATATCTCAACTACAAGATTGATTGAGGTAGAAATAGTATAAGAATCTGGGGCTGGGGTTGTGGCCCAGTAGTAGAGCGCTTRCATGTGTGAGGCATTGGGTTCGATTCTCAGCATCACATATAAATAAAGAAATAAAATAAAGGTTCGTATACTATTTTTAAAAAATAGTTTAAGAATCTGATTAAGTATATAAAATAATGACCAATCCCTTTCTACCCCCATGTCCAAAAGAATAATCCTCATACATTCTACCACCATCTCAAAAAAATCTTGAACTTGGTTCTTTTGTGTTTTACTCTGTTTTCCAAACTTTCAAAATATACCTTTAATATTCATCAACAGAGATTTGGTGGAGTTTTTGTTTCTGCACTTTGTGGTATGTATGTGTGGTGGGAGACTGACAAGATTACTTTTTTCTCAAAGAAGAAATGACTTGATAATGCTCAGTGTGCTTCTCCTGCCTCCAAATCAAGAATCTAATCTGAGTTTCCACCTCTACCTTCTGATCACTCCTTTGAGATCCCTGGTTATACATTCCCAAATGTTTCCCCCAGAAAGCCAGAACCTAGCTGCAGGGTTGTGGATCTTTTTACTTTAACCCCAAAGTATTTCCAAACTGTGAGAAGAGTCTGGGACTTAGAATTGAATGCAGCAGCCAGGCGTGGTGGCACATGCCTGTAATGCCCACAACTCAGGAAACTGAAGCAGGAGGATTCTAAGTTCAAGGCCAGCCTCAGCAATAAAAAATAAAAAGGCTGAGGGTGTGGCTCAGTGATAGAGCATCTCTGGGTTCAACTCCAAGTACCAAAAAAAAAAAAAAAAAAAAAAAAGGAATTGAATGGAGCAAATTTTCCTCAGCTCCACCTGGCAAACTCTTTCATGATATGGTTAGAAAAGTCTTCATTTTTGAGACCTTTTTTTTGCCCATAATGTGCCTTTTAAGCACAGCCTCTTCGGAAAACTCAGGTGCTGATGAACTTAACCAAGAAGGAAAATTTGGATCATCTTTCCTGTGGTTACAGCAGTGTACTCTGTTCCCTCAGGAATGAGCAGTATTCCCCCRTTGCAATCACTGGATGAAGCTGATAATCAGCTCTGTGGTTGAAGCAACAAGCGTTTTCACGAGTTTAGGAAGCAGAGATGACTATTAAGCTTTGATATGACAGTCTCATTTTTTATATACCATTGTTAATGTCAATCTCTTGTATGGGGCAATTATACACCAAAGCCAGGAGAATTCTTTTTCCCCTTTCATTCTATTCCCCTTTCTTATTTTTCTCTTAGTGGAGCTGAAAGCTATGTGTGCCTGCACAGGTTTTGAATCCCAGTGTAGATAGGGCCCCTGGAGCTGACAGCCCTGGCGTTACGTATCTGTAACAAACAGAAAGACTTTCTCCAGTGGGTCTTTAGGAAGGTATCTATATGAAAGGCAGGCTATTCATATATGGAAATGCTTTAAATCTGCCCAACTTCTTCTCTCCTGGAGGTAGATTTGAGCCTAAGAGTCCACAATCCATTGTGAACCCGGTACCTAGGGACCTCTTTTTTTTTTTTTTTTTTTTTGTGAGAACTTGGGACCTCTTGCTACAGAGATCTACACATGAACCACTCTTTAGATTGTTGCTTAGGAAAATCTGTGGATTCTTTTCTTCTAGAAACTGCATGTTTTCCTATTCCAAGAAGTGCTTGTGATCACTCGAGCCGTCACCCACAACGAGCAGCTCTGCTACCAGTTGTACCGTCAGCCAATCCCCGTGAAGGACCTTATGCTGGAAGACCTGCAGGACGGAGAAGTGAGGCTAGGTGGCTCTTTGCGTGGGGCTTTCAGCAACAATGAGAGAAGTATGTACAGGGGTAGACTCTGTTCATTTGGTGAATAGTTTTGGTCGTTAGAATTTAGTAGGAATGCCTGGATGGTGAAAAGTGAAGAGCCCTAGCCTTCCAGTTAAATTGCATTCCARTGCTGTCTCTTCACTTACTGATTATGTAACCTTGTTCAACCTCCATGAGCCTCAGTTTCCTATCTGCAAAAGCGATGCGTGCCTACCTCCTTCATAAAGTTGTTTTAACAATTAAGAGAGATAATGTAAGTGAGCCATTTGCACATAGCTGGTGCACCTTTCACTCCCTGTCCCTGATCCCTGCGGTTGGATGTAAGTGTACTTAATACCAGATGGTCTCTATCTGGGTACCAGTTATATAATGGTGGTTTTTGAGGTTAAGCAGGCAGAATGGTCCTTAAAGAGACTTAAGAATGGTCAGCTGAGATGAGCATTCATCTGAAACACTACTCAATGGGCTTCTCTAACTAGAGGCTTAACAAAGGAATTAAATAAGAGAAGCTACAACAGCAATGTCTAGAAAGTACCTACCATGTGTCAAGTGCTGTTCTTGGCACTAGTACATACAGTGGTGAACTGGGCAGTTAGATTCTTTGTCCCTGTGGAGCTTACATTGTCATAGAGGAGATCAATAAACAAACATTCATGGTGCTGGTTAAAAACTGAAACCCAGTAAGGGGRGAGAGAGGGATAGAGTAGGAGGTTTGTTATAGGAGAGATTGTCAGGGAGTTCTTAAAGAAAATAATATCTGAATCTCCTGGGTTAACATAGACATCCTGTTGTGAAGATAATTATTATGTCCTGCCTCTTAGCTACTCAACAATTCCTGTATCCCAGTAGTAGTAGTAGTAGTAGCAGCAGCAGCCAAGGTAGAAATAAATCTTACATTTTTTGAGTACTGACTTTGGGCCAGGTATTGTATAAGCACTTACATGAATTATCACATTTACAAATAAAGGCTTTACAAATAAAGCAACTGAATCACAGAGGAGTTGAGGCACTAATACAGAATCAAAATGGGGAGCCTTAATTTAAGGGACTAGGATTAGCTTCTAGACAAAGGCAACTACCAATGAAACATTTTGGCCTACTCTACCTTTATTGCTTAGCCACTAAATGGCTGGAGTGGTAGTTCCCAGTCTGATGGTCACACAGGAAGTGCAAGGTGTCTAACTATAGATATTTCTATGAACCAAGCATTACATGTGGCACACAGGGCCCATTACATGCTAGTCAATGTTGTTTTTAGAATAAAGGTCTTCCATATCATGTACTAGCATTTTTTAAATGCAAGTTGCCGCTGGGCACAGTGGAGCACCCATATAATCCCAGCAAGTTGGAAAGTTGAGGCAAGGAAGATCACAGGTTCAAGGCTAGCCTAAGCAACTCAGCAAGACCCTGTCGTGGAATAATTTAAAAAATAAAAAGGACTGGGGATATAGCTCAGTGTTAAAGTGTTCCTATTTTCAATGTCTAATACTGTAAATACATGAATTAACTAATGCATGTTGTGCCTATTGAGATAATTGAAATAAAATTTTCTTTTTAAGCAAAAATTTATAACAGCTCTATGACTTTAAATATCTTTTCAATCACTGAATACTAAGCATCCAGRTACTCTCATATGAAGGGTTGTGGGCATGTTTTGATGTTACAAAGAGCTTCTTAAACTGGTAAAAGCTCTTCCTTGGAGCACTTATTGAAACTGTACAATATAAGGTCAGCTTTAGACATATTGAATCTCTAAGGATAGGGCCTGGGGATCTGTATTTTTAACAAGCTCCCTAAGGGATTTTGGAGACAAGTTTGGTAACCAATACTGTGGTGGTCCCCTGAAAAGTAACACTTAGGTATTCCAAGCCGATATTCATTTGCTAGCTTCTGAGAGCAGTAAGGGTAACTGAGAGGCCAGCTCTTGTCAACTCCAATTGATAGATGGTGGCATCTGGTGGAGCTGAGCTATGTGCCGCATCAGTGGCAAACATTTTACAATCAGCAGTGTCTGCCATGGTATCTAGGGTAGTGTCAGCCTGGGGAAGTACTTTTCTGTTGACATTTTTTTCCACATATTTTTAATTTCTAGTTAAAAACTTCTTCAGAGTCAGTTTCAAAAATGGATCCCAAAGTCAGACCCACTCGCTACAAGCCAATGACACTTTCAACAAGCAGCAATGGCTCAACTGTATTCGTCAAGCCAAGGAAACAGTCCTGTGTGCCACCGGGCAGGCTGGGATGCTTGACTCTGAGGAACCATACCTTAATCCCGCCACTGTAAGCAGAGCTCCACAGGGAGAAACAAAACTCGAGCAGATGGACCAGTCAGACAGTGAGTCAGACTGCAGTATGGACACAAGCGAGGTCAGCCTTGACTGTGAGCGAATGGAACAGACAGATTCCTCCTGTGGGAACAGCAGGCATGTGGAAAGCAACGTCTGATAGAGGGGCTGATGTTCCTGGAAGTAGCCCTGTGTTCTACCTGTACAGTATTTGCATTCCACACATGGAACAGTTTGGAAAAGCACTTTTTCATACTTTTGTGAACGTGTTGGCCCAGTCTCTTGTATCTGTATCTTTGTTCCTAGTACTGTAACTGCCAGTCAATCTGTCTGTATCAGCTGGAATCTGTGGCAGCCGTTACCCTGTACTGTATCTCACAAGTGTCTGGATGGATGGACAGGTACTTGAACAAGTTGCTTTCAATTGTCCTGCTGGATTTTGAAAAGTAGAAAGAACAGAAACTCTAAACTACTGTTTTGCATAGCTTGCTTGCAGAGTCCTTCCTCCCATGCTTCTCTAGTGCTTGTCTAGCTCTTTGACATGGTAGCCAAAGGCATGAAATTTAGAGGGCTTTGCCAACAGGGTATCAGGACAGCTTTAAGGGAGAATCAGAAAAGACTAGTCCTTGAAGTGAGCTTGGTTCTGTTATTCAAACAGAAAGCATGAAAACATCCCTGGGGATTCTGAAGGCTTATTTTGCAAAGGAGAGATCATGGTTTAAACCTTGCAGTTCCATCTAGTGCAAATTCGATGCAGTAATCTATGAGGACATGAAATAGAGGCTGCCCTTGGAAGGGCAAGGGACAAAAGCAGCTGCCAGCTCTGAATCTTTAACTGAAATGTGTGCAGCTCCAGGATGTGGCTGTCATGGTTAGTGGGTTGCTGTAGAAAGCCATCTCTAGCCTAAAACTGCAGAATAGAAAAGGCCTGGGAAAACCTGCCAGGATAATGACTCCATTTGTTTTAATCTGCCTAAGCCACTCCTATTTTAGAGTGTGAAGCAGCAGAAAAGAGACCTTAGTGTGGATGACTCTGTTTACAAAACACAGGAGAGGGAGAATTGGGAGTGAGAAGTGCTCCCTTGTCCCAGGAGAGGGAGAATTGAGAGTGAGAAGTGCTTCATTGGGACCTTCTGAGGGAACCATTTAAAAAGAAAAGCATGGTCCAGAGCCTTCTCAGAAAGGCCAGAGCCTTGGATTTCCTGCTCTGCTTTTGGGCCATCATTTTGCATCTCTGGTTGTGCACTGTAATCAGAATTGTATACATTCTCCAGAGGCCAATTTCTTTATCTCTCTTAGGATCAGCTAGCCAAACTCAATAGAAAAGGCCTGGGAAAACTTGCCCAGGCCCTGATTTACAGAGCAAAGTTGCGTGCACCTTAAAAAACAAACAAACAAACAAAAAAATACTTAACAAAATACATGGAAAAGTTCCCTATGAATGTAAATATTTAGGATGAACTGTGCAAAAGTATACCCACACCAGCACTAGTAGTAATGATTCTAAATTATTGCCAAAAGTTTTTTTTAATCTTCCTGTGTCTTTCAAGTTTACAGAAAACAGAACATACAATGATGTCATTTTATTATGTATATATATCATGTGCATTCAAAAAAGCTGTGTGACAAGATTTATCAATATAAAAATAAGGTATATGGCATTATTATTTTTCAAAAACAAAGAAAAATATTATGGTCAATTTTACCCTGTAAAACATATTTCTGTATTTATAGATTTTAAACATGGTGAATTTTTTCTATTACGAGTTTATTTAAAACTGCTTTGTTTCTCAAGTCGTTATTGAGTTAGCAGGTGGATGAACCTACTGCAGATAGAAAGAAGCAGAGGGAAGCTCGGAAGAGTCATTTGATGATAAGAAAGAAAAGAAAGAGCTGTGGGGCCACTTTGGGCAACATATTGAGAAGAGATTTGTCAAGTGTTTGTCCAGAGAAGAAAGTCAATGAATGTCTTGATGAAATGAATGTTTTTGTATAATGGCCTTAAACTTTTCTGGAAGCATTTCAAATAAATTACATTAAAAATGTCATTTTTCTTTTGTCCAGTGTTTGCCTAACAACCAGCAAGTTTCAACTGTCCTTTTGGGAAGGAAGGGTCTTTCTGAAATTTTTGCTTATCTTTCCCAAATACAAACTCGTAACAGTGTACAGCTGAAATAAATGCTTTGATTTAGCCTAGCAAAGCTTTTTTGGAACTTACGTATCTAAGATCTATTTTTTCATTCTATATTCATTTACTTATTTATTCACTCATTTTAATAACTCTGGCTTTATCCATATTAGGTATAAAGTCACTTATTATGGAAATATTGAATCTTATTGCCAACATAGGTGACTGTTGATAAACTTGGGGCTAAATATAAGAGAAGGCAAATTTCACTTTGAAATTCTTACTGGAATTTCAGTCCACTTTTTTATTGAAATGGTTAGTTTTATTTCCTACAAAGGGTAGTTTTCAAATGAAAAAAAATAGACAGTTTTAAGCTGTCAGTAGCCAGTTCTCAATTGCACATTGGTCTAATAAGGCTGGTAGATTTATCTTTATGATACCATTTTCTTTAACAAGTTGTTAATTCCCAGATTATGTAAGAAAGTCAAATAAATAAGTCCATATTTTTTTCTAAAATAAAAAAGTTCTCCTCCTCTTCTTTTTTGTCCTTCTTGTCCTTCTTTGGTGCCATCTTGGATATTCCCTCCATTTCTCACTCCCACAATTGTGACTAGAGGATGTGTCTTTACTAGTATATTAGAAAATGCTTGCATTGACATTTTGTGAGTTAGTGCAAATGACTGAGGGTTATTTTACACACAACTAGATGTAATCCTCACAGTCTAAATGAACAGTCTTAAGCAATGAAAACAGCCAGAACTAGTCATGTTGTACAAAGTTAGAGTGTGGTTTCAGCTTTTGGGCTGTGGTCACCACCACCGACTGCTTTGGTTTCCATTCCCAGCATAATCTCCAGCAGCTAAGAATGCAAACCTCTTTGTAACCACAGTCTTGTTTCAGCAAAGACTGTGGTTACAGGAAGCTGCAGCCCACCATCTTGGTGAACCATCTTGGTTCCACTTTTCCATTTATATTTTATTCGTGTCTATTTCTGACTAATTTTCCAAAAGCCTGAGGACTCTCTCGAATATTTGATGAAGAGAATGGCCACACTCAGGTCAGTTTACTCAGCCAAGCTCCTCCTGGCATTGTGGAATAGGTAGTGAATGCCCCCTTTTGTTGATATAGTTGATTCGTTTAATTCATGCTATCTTGTTTCTTGACAGAATTCTATAGTAACTACATTGGAAGAGAAATGGGAGAGAGATCGCCAAAGCCAAACCTACCAGTAGGAATCTGAAGATTATGAAGATATAAAACTGTGACCGTGTGAATAAGCACACAATGATAAGAGGTGACTGTATTCACTGTACCTCAAGGGTATTTAGGCAAACAAGTTCACAGAAAACATCACTGCTCATTACATCCTATCTCATTTCTCCAGGTATGGTTAGCATATCATCAGTTACCCAGACCTACTCTGACAAAGAAGTTCATCAGCAGACTAGGGGAATAGCAAGGATTTAGTAGCGTGAGCTCTATCTTTTGAAAGCTAATTATTTATTTCAGGAAATTGGACATGCATTCCAAATGGCTTGTCCACTATGCATACATGTCCACACACAAACATACCTCAGTGTTATCTCACCTGTGAAAGATTTGAAATATGCCCTCCTCAGATGTTTTATTCAGTGTCTGTTTCCATATATGTTAAAAAAAAAAAAAGACTTGGGATGTAACTCAGCCCATTTAAAGAGTGAGACTGTAGATGTGAAATCATTTTTAAAATGRTGAAAATCTAGTAGTTTTCCTTGCTTTTATGCAATATCACATTTGATCATGTGTTGTGGAATTTCTCAAAAGTGTGGCTGTGGTCCAAGTCTTTTGTCATTCATTATGCTGTGTCATGGGGAGCCTTTTCAATCGAAAGAATCTGAATGTTATTTTGTTTTTGTTTTTAGTACTGGAGACTGAACCCAGGTACCCTCTACCACTGAGCTACTATCCCCCTTGCCCTTTTTCTTTTATTTTGAGACAGATCTCACAAAGTTGCTGAGCCAAGTTGCTGAGAATCTCACTAGGTTGCTTGGCTTCCAACTTGAAATCCTCCTGCTTTAGCCTCCCAAGTCACTGGAATTACAGGCATGTACCACAGCACCCAGGGCCTTGAGCATGGTAGGCAAGTGCTCTACCCCTAGCCCCTTATCTCTTTATCTATTTATTTATTTTTATTTATTTATTTTTTATTTTTTGGTACCAGGGATTGAACTCAAGGGCACTCAACCACTGAGCCACATCCCCAGCACTATTTTGTATTTTATTTAGAGACATGGTGTCACTGAGTTGCTTAGTGCTTCACCATTGCTGAGGCTGGCTTTGAACTTGTGATCCTCCTATCACAGCCTCCAGAGCCTCTGGGATTACAGATGTGCATATCTATCTCTTTATTCTTAACTTTTTTTTTTCCCTTACAGTACTGGGGATTAAACCCAGGGCCTTGTACATGGTAGGCAAGCACTCTGTGAATAAGCTATTCTTGCTTTTTTTTTTATTTCCTTATATTTTGTTCTACTTTCAGAAATGTTTCCTCTCCTTTGTTTTTAACCCTTATATTAATTAGAGGAAAGGGTTACCCTCACAGATCCTTTTTTTGCTAATTTTTTTTTCTTTTTTCTCATTAGTCTTGTACTAGAGCATCTTTCTTCTTTTTTAGGGAAAACAGTGTCTTCTATAAACTTTCTGAGGGTATCATAGTTTGGGTAAACATTTTTTCTTCAAACACTGTTTATCTRGGAATAATAATACTACCTCATGGGACTGTTGGGGGATTAAATGTACTAATATATCTAAAGTAGTTAGAATGGTGTTGTGTCAGGTATTTTTGGTTTACCTCTCCAAATATACCAGATACCCTGATTCACTCTCCTAGGTGCCTGTGCTAGCTGTATGGACTTTATCAATGGGCTTTCTTGCAACATCCCATTTGGTTTGGCCAAATACTAAGGCCTGACATAATAAACATTACATATATGTGCTTTTATCATCATCAATACTATTCTACCATCTACTTTCCATTGTCACGTGTTGTGATTCAAAGGTAAATGAAGATATTTGGAATCACCAAAGATGAATTTTGTGTTTCTGTTTTTTGTTATTATTGTAATGGATTTTTTTCTGAGAAGAGAAACTATCTTTCAAAAATGAAAGCAAAATACTTTTCCAAACATATCAAAACTGAAAGAATTCATCACCAGCAGACCTCCATTACAAGAAATGTTAACAATACCTTTTTTGGATAGGAGGAAAATGATACCATATGGTTCCACACTTGGAGGGCTGAAACAGGAGGATCACAAATTCAAGACCAACTTCAGCAATTTAATGAGATCTGTCTTAAAAAAAAAAAAAGACTGGATCTGTAACTCAGTAAAAATACCCCTTGGGGTTCAATCCCCAGTACCAAAAAACAAAAACAAACAAAAAAAAGTGATTGGTTCTAACTATGATAGAGTAAAACTATGATTTGAAAGATACTGAATATAAGCAATGACGGATAATGACCTTGAGAGAAGGGAAACAAATTATATGAGTCCTACTATTGTTACAATTTATAGCCTATCTGAGGGTTTTCAGACAGCTACACATGGAGGAAGGGGTACCTGTGCTGGTCCAGTGGACCCTATGAGTATAAGAGTTGTAACTGAGAGTTCAACTACAGTTTTCAGTACCGAAAGAAGCATATCGTATGGAGAGAACAACAGAGGTCTGTAGAGGGTCCTTCTCAAGTACACAAAGAGTATTTATTGACCAGTGCACATTTGAAGAATACACTCAAATCTAGCGGGGAACTATCCAAAAGGATTAGAGGGAACACAATACCAAAAATAGTTTATGTTCCCAGAGACCCAATTAGAAGAATATCATAATTTACAGGGCATGGGTAAATACTAAGAAAGCTCCAGTTTCATTAGTGGAGAATAATTATCCCTAGAATAAATGCTACTCTGATCCTACCTAACAAATCTTAAGGGAATACAAAGAAAGATCAAACTCTTTCCAAGGAACGGCACCCCAAAGCAAAGCTCAAGGATATTTATAGTAATACAAAAATATTCAGCACTAAATGATAAAATTAACAGTAACTGCAAGCTCATCAAAGACTGCAGGCATGTAAAGTGGGAAAGTGCAATCCATGGAGAGAAAAGACTTATAACTGATATAAATGTTAGAATTATCAGACAAAGGCATTAAAACAGTTTTAACTGTATTCAATATTTTAAATTTTTTATTAGTTATTGATGGACCTTTATTAATTGTTTATATGTGGTGCTAAGAATCAAACCCAGTGGTGCCTCACACATGCTAGGCAAGCACACCACCACTGAGCCACAGCCCTAGCCTCTGGATTCAATATTTTTAATGTTAAATAGAAACATGAATGATAAGAAAGATTTCTACAGATAAAAACTATAAATGAGAAAAATACAATAGATGGGATTAAGAACAGATTGGACATTGTAGAAAAAAAGCATTAGTGAAAAAGACATAGCCTTATAAACTATTGAAACAGAAGACAATTTTTTAAAAAATATTTTTTAGTTTTAGGTGGACACAATATCTTTATTTTATTTTTATGTGGTTCTGAGAATTGAACCCAGTGCCTCATGCATGCTAGGCAAGTGTGCTACCACTTGAGCCACATCCCCAGTCCAAGAAGACAATTTTTTAAAAGGGGAAAGAGCATTAGTGAGTTAGAAGACAGCTTTAATCACTCTAATAACGCACATAATAAAATTTCCAACCATGCGCTGTGGCACATACCTGTAATCCCAGTGGCTCAGGAGGCTGAGACAGGAGGATCTCAAGTTCAAAGCCAGCCTCAGCAATTGTGAGGGGCTAAGCAACTCAGTGAGACCCTGTCTCTAAATAAAAGATAAAATAGGG